GACTGAAACCACAGCAGTGTGTGCCTGCTGTGATCCTAATTAGCTGGATTCAAAAAACGAGTCTGTGGAAATCTTGAGTCCCCATCACCATCACATGCCCAGAAGAGAATCTTTCATGCCGCCCCTCTAATGCACCAGGCTGGTTGCAGTGACTGGCGCTCTCCTTTCACGTTTTGCACGGGGAGAGGGAAGGGGTCCTTTTGAAGCTGCACAGCAGAGGCGCCGCTGTCAGTTCATCACAGCTAATTGCTCCGAGCCAGATTTAACTTTCAGACCTTTGCTGGCTCAGAAGATGTTTAAGAGCTGTCATGCCTGCGGGCCTGGTCACGCGCCTCCCAAAAAATCCCCCATCGCTGCTGACAGCGTGTGTAAGAGACTCCAGCAGTGGCCTCTGCCTCGCTGCCATTCCGTCAGCTGTTTTTGGAATGCTTAGTGCCCGCTGCTATCTCCAGTCCCTTGCTGCTGGGAGGCCAGTGGGCTGCCTTCCCTGTGGGGCCGTGCAATCTGCCCTCCTGCGGTGATGGGCTGTCACATGTGACTGGAAGCGGGGCGGGGGGGGGGGGGATGCTAAGGGGCAAGGTGAATCCGGTTACTCCACTAACTGGAAACAAGCACCAGTGATTTAAGCTCTCAGCCAGTACCCAATTCACTGCACATCTCTAGGACTTTCCCTCTGAGGAGCCTGTTAGGACAGGTGGGCACAGGCTAAGAGAATGTGGTGTCCTTTCAGTTTCAAGGGGAGTTGGGCACCTACCATTCATTGTGTCTGTTGTAGTGATGCGCAGGACCCCTTTGCACTAGGCGCTGTACGAATCCAGAACAAAAAGCTGGCCCTGCCCCAAAGAGCTGACAAGCCTCATCCCTTATTTTCATTGGGGCCTGATTTTCAAAAGTGCTCAGCACCTGCAGCTCCAGTGGAGATCGAGGGGAGATACAAGTGCTTCTGCATCTCTGGAAATGGGGCCCCGAGTCTCCTGCCAGCCCTGCGAGGTAGGGAGGTATGAGCCCTGTTTTACAGACAGGGACACTGAGGCAGAGAAGGGTGTGATGATGTGCTCAGTCCCATGCATGGTCTGTGGCAGCCCCAGAAATAGAAGCCAGCTCTCTCTGGCTTTAACCACTAGACCTTGCTTCCTGCCACGCCGTTTATTCCAAACACCACTAAACTGCAACTGTCTCGGGTGGAGAGAAGCAGCCAATAGGAGTGGTGGGGAGAGGAGAAATGTTGCCTACAGTTGCCGGGATAAACCGTGGTCGTGAGATCCTGCTTTAAAGGGTGGAATTGCAGTGGATGTGGAGCTGATGAGGCAGCTTTTCAGATGGGCGTTTAAACATCCCTAGTGATGGCCTATCTATTGCGCCATCTGGATCAGGATTCTCTCTGACACATGCTTTAGAGCAGGGGTCGGCAACCTTTCAGAAGTGCTGTGCCGAGTCTTCATTTATTCACTCTCATTTAAGGTTTCGTGTGCCAGTAATACATTTTAACGTTTTTAGAAGGTCTCTTTCTATATGTCTATAATATATAACTAAACTAGTGTTGTATGTAAAGTAAATAAGGTTTTTAAAATATTTAAGAAGCTTCATTTAAAATTAAATTAAAATGCAGAGCCCCCCAGACCGAGGGCCAGGACCCGGGTAGTGTGAGTGCCACTGAATATCAGCTCGCGTGCCACCGGTTGCCTACCCCTGCTTTAGAGGAAGGTTCAAGAAACCTCACTTAGGCAGCTGTGGGATAATCTTAGGTTTCCTCCTAGTAACTAGGAATTGGCTTATGCCCTGAGCATGAGGTTCATGAAATCTGCATGTCTAGCTCCCATGATTTTGGGCAAGGAAAATGACATAGTCCTGCTGAGTTCCAAGTTCAGGATCTACGTTCGTAGCCTAGATCAGTGGTTCTGCTCTTAGACTCATGAATAAACATCACTTGCCCATCAAGGGGTGAGGGGAGCAATACCAGTGATTCGTAGCATTCCGATTACTCAGCCCTCCCATTCTCATTGGGCCTCCGTTTTACTTTGATGCAGAATCAAACCACATTTCCACCCTGAGAATGGCCATGTCTAAGGCTAGAAATGCAGAGAGAAAAGAGGCTTGTGCAGGGTATAGATGTCAGCGGGATGTGCTGCTCCCACCCAAGGCCCAAACGAGATCTGTATTTATGATGCAGCGGGTGCCGGAGCAGCTTGATCAGCTGCCTCTCGTGCTGGGAGCTGGGCTTCTCATCTCAGCAGAGCGGCTCGGTTCAGAACGAGCTGGCGTTGGATACGCTCGTGTTAGTTCCAAGGCCAATATTGATTTTTTTTTTTTATCCAGTAGCCTTTTATACTGGCCTCTCCAACCTCTGGGCTGTGCTCTGGAGAGACTTGTGAATTGCAGCCTGGGTCTCCGCTTCCCAGCAAGGGAGTGGGGGATGGAACTGGGAGTCCCAAATCACGGATTCTAATGCTGTTTGCAACACGCTGGGTAACTGTGGCCAAGTCACTTAACTTCTCCCTGCCTCCGTTTGCCCATTAGTAGCCAGAGGGGTCATGAGGCTTCCCTGTTTCCTAGGGGCGCAGGGTGACTTGTGGGAAAAGCCACTTGGAGCTGTTCAGATTAAAGGAGCTATAGAGGGCACAGCACACCATTGTCGTCAGCAGTACTTGCATGGACTGAAGGAGCAACTGGCTTTGGGCACTGCGGGTGGGGAGACTAGACTACTCAGGTGTCATTGACCATCCCCACTCCCCATCTGCCTAGAAGCAGGGCAAGGGAGTGATCTGAGGGGAGGGCAGTGGACAGAATGACCAGGCTGCTACCTGGAGTAAGAGCCCATCCCACCCTGCAGGGCATTTTGGGATACTGATGAGGGGAGGTGCTAAAAGGGACAGGGTCACCAGAGGAGGTACCTTGGCAGCATTCAGGTCTCAAGTGGTTTCTGCACGTATGACATTTGAGGCCAGTGGCAGGCTGGCTCTGTAGCCAAGCATGGCACATCTCGGTGGGCCTTTTCCTCCATAAAACCATGAACGACAGCTGGGCAGACACAGAACCAAACTGAGTAGAAGTCGGCCCTACAGGAAGTAGACTGTGAGAGCCGGGTATCCTCCAGTAGGAACAAGATTGTGCCTGCTGCCCGAATGAATCCTCCATAAATCCAACACACCCTTTCTGCGGGTGAGCAGTAGGGTGTTGCTTGTCAGGCCTCGGCAGAAGACTGGGGTCACATGGTGTTCTGTGCCAACTGGAAATCAGGGGTACATTTTTAACAGTGAGAGTAATTAACCAGGGGAATAGCGTACCAAGGGTCGTGGTGGATTCTCCAGCACTGACGATTTTTAACTCAAGACTAAATATTTTTTTTAAACAGATCTGCTTTAATCCAAACAATTATTTCAGGGCAGTTCTCTGGCCTGTGTTACACAGGAGGTCCAACTAGATCACAATGATTCCTTCGGCCCTGGAATCTATGAAATTTCAGCCAAACAGCAGGTTTCCCCTGCGGAGACAGGATAACTTGGGTTGTGATCTCCTCAGACAATCGAAGCAGCATCAGGCTTGACTAGTGCTGGAACGGCAGCCCTCCCAGGCAAACCCATGTTCTGCCGCATGTGGTGGCTGGTGACCCAATAGATGGCGCTGTTCCCTTTATGGCATTAGTTACCCTCTTCCAGATACAATCAAGGCCCTGATTGCTTTGCATCATTAAAGACCCTGATGTCTCAGCCAAATTCCAGTTCAGGCAATTAAATTCCATGTACCTGAAATCTCCCCTGCCATGACAGCAGTCTTCTCTCCTTTCTGCCCTGTGGTGCTGCTTCCTGTTAAACAGCTGCTACCCTCCATCTCAGAGGGGGGGGGGTGCATGTCATTGGGGTGTGAATTGATTTGGGGTGTGAAGCTGTTTGGTATGAAAGACACTCTGACTTTAAGCAGCAGTGTCATTGGGTCCCTCCCTTCCTGAATTCCCGCCATAGGGCTTGCTGTCTGTTCTGCATCCCAGGGCTGCTGACTTTCCTGTAGGCTCGAGCTCTCCACCCCTTTAACCAGCCTTCAGAGAACTAGGTCAGTTGCTCAGTAGCTGTTAACTCTGCGCGAGGCTCGAGTGGCCTGTCCTTATCTTTCTGGTGGCTGCATGTGGTGGGCAACATTTAGCCTCCCGCTCTGTTCTAACAGCAAAACCAGCCCTTATCAGGAGCACTTTCTCCACTAGCTGTCAGATCTATTAGCAGGGCAATCGCCACTGAACGCAGAGAGCTGGCATGCTGGTAATTTCTCTGCTGCCTTTAAAGCTCTGGGGTTTCTGGCTTGGCAATCAGTGTAGTAGAAAGGAGCCCAAGGAGAAACTGCTGCAAGCAGCCTCTGGAGGAACCAACCAAATATGCAATCAAGGGAGCCCCTTCTCTGCCTTTGCAAAGAAACGCAAGGTTTTGAGTGGCTGGTGGCATTTTCCTCATCCCTATCTGAATCCCAGGCTTTAGATCTATGCTGTGTGCTTCTCTTTGGGCATCTCTCTCATCTTGGATTAGGACATAAGCCCCCTGTCTTCACAGAGGGAGTCGCTGTGTGACCATCTTGCCATCCCCACGGCCTCCAGGGATGGATTAGGACTATAAATGGGGCCAACTCCCCCGCCCCACAAAATACCCCATGGGACAGGCTTTTCCTCCCAGCCTGGTCTCCTTGATCTTCCCCACCTAGCTTCCAGATAGACTGTTTCATTGTTCCAGGGAGATGGCTGGTCCTCTTGAACCTGCGGGCCTGACTTTAGGGACTTTGCTTTAATACACCACCAGCACTCTCAAAGGAAGCCGTAAGTAAGCTTGGATGGATCAAGTTTTTATTGGTAAATATCGAGAAACATCAATTTCAGTGCACACAAACCCACACAAAATATTTCCATTAATAATAATCAATATGTACAGCTAGGCAAGGTGCTTGAGAACTTAGAGTCAAAAATCCAGGGAATTAGGCTTGTTCCAAATGGGCTAGCAAATGAGAAGTCAAAACACGTGTGATTTGTTGATTTAAGGATATTTTATTTTGTATATTCTGACATGTGATGCTGATAGTTTAGGTTTTAATGGTTATAAAGCTTTCAGTTTTGGAATCTCAATGCCTATTGTCATTAATTATTATTTGGCACCACCACCTCTAGTTTCCCACAACGGTGACTGTTTAAACTGATGAAAATGCTTACAAATAAACCTCAATATTCTCAAAAATAAAAATCGAATTCTGCCAAGCCTAGTTGTAAGCAAGGAAGTGACTCATTGGTTGTGGTGACCTTGATGTGGTGCCTGGGGATGGTATGTTGTGCATTGTAGGCCTCTTGTACCCACCTAGCAGCCTGCTAGATGATTGGATACACAGTTCTAGCCAGTAGGACCAGAGCTGGTAAGGAAGCCCACAGCCATTGGAGCGTCTGTACTGGCTTATCTACAGAATAGGACTGTAGCTCTGGGCTCAGCTCCCCTGTCACGGTAAGGGACACTGTTAAATTGTAAGCGCTGTTTGTTCTCTGTTTGTGCAGCGCTTGGCACAATGGGGTCTTGATCTGTGCTTGGGGCTTATAGGCACTACCGCCCTACAAAGAATAATTGTGTTACAGGTGATCCCAAGGCAGTGTGGTGTTCCGTGTACTGGGGGACTGGGCTTTCCAGATTTCCCAGGCCGATTTTTCGCTGTGCTGCACAGCTTTGTTACAGATCTTGTTCTAGAAGCCAGAGCTGCCATGAACCAGTTCTACCCACCCCTTTCCCCCTTGATCCCAGCTGCAGAAGAGTGACTCAGAGCCAAGGGTAGGTTGCACCAGGGACTCAGAAATGTGTTTGCAGCAAGGATGGTGGCACTATGGGGAACTCAGCCCAGCATCCCTCCAATTAAAGGATCCTGATTAAGATACTAGGGGCTCACATGGCCTTTCTCCTCCTCTCCCCACACCCTGGGAGACACGTCCTCTGGATTCTCTCCCCCTTTTGTTTTACAGAAGAGGATGTGGAGAACTTTGACGTGACGACCCTGTCTCAGGATGTGTTGCGGAGCATCGAAGCCGACAGCTTCTGGTGTATGAGCAAACTACTGGATGGCATACAGGTAAGTGCACCGGGAAATGGGCCTGAGCAGATTTCTCTCTGCTCCCCCCTCTCTCTTAGATAGCAGTCCCAGTGTCCTCCCTCTGTTTTTGGGTAGCCATCTGTTCCACCCTCAGGCCGCACCCCCAACTTGAGTGACATTCCTAGTGATCTCCCTGTACCTAACCCCTCTGGTTACAGGCTGAATCCTGTCTAGTTTTAGAGGCTGGGGACTCAAAGCCAGGAACTTCCAAGTTCTAATCCTGGCTCAGCTACTGATTACTCAGTAGCCTTGTCCAAGTCACTTATCTGTGTCTAGTCCCCTCTCGTTCCTCACAGGGCTGTTGTGCTGAGTTTATTCTTGACCCACTTCTAGCCTGGCTTCTGAAACGGCTTGTTCAGCGGTTGGCTGCTAACCTACTTCCCCGCACACAGACTCACACATCCAACACCCCTCTTCTCTGATGAGAACTGTCCCCATGCGTATGCTCTCTGATCTCTCATGCCTCTTGTCCCCCAGTAAACATACTGCATCTTGTTCCCCAGACACGTGCAGCTCCTCACGTCTCTGCCTCTCATTGCCCCATAGAGCTGCAGACTTCTACCCCTCCCTCCTTGGCTTGTGGTCCCACAGAGGCCTACGGACCTCCTTGATCAGGGTCGCAGAAAGACACATGGACTTACAAGTGCAGAAACAGATGTCCTCTGTCTCCTTTATTAAAAACACTCCCCTCTTTTATCAGGATCAACCTTCCTAACAAAGTGAGAATTAAGTACTCTCTCTTTCTCTGCCTATTTATGTCCCCATTAAAAAGGAATTTTGCTCTGTACGCTCAAGATTGCTTTCCTTGCGGCCTGACACAAATTCACTTATTTCGAGATTTCTCAAGCGTGCTCTCTTGTGATCTGAGCCCCCTGTACGTAGCAACAAAACACACAAGACACATCGAAGTCGAACACCTTCCACTTAAAATAGAGTAATTACCACTTAGCATCAATTGGGGGATCTCAAAGCACCTTACAAAATTGCCCCTGCTTTACAGATGGGGAAACTGAGGCACGGAGGGGTTGAGGGACTCACCTAAAGTCACAGCGTGAGTTGGGAATAGAATCCAGGCGGGAAAGCCTGGTCCTATGGAAGTCTACAGCACAAAGCCCAGTAGGGTCAGGATTTCATCTCAGGTCTCCTGATTCTCAGTCTGTATATCTAACTACTAGACCGCCCTGCTCCCTAAGCAAAACTCTAATGCTCACGTTTTCCAGGGATTCTGGCTTACACTGGGCCTGGAAGAGCAGCAGGGAAGTGATTTCAAGAGCAGAGGATCCCACCACCCCAAACTCACTGTCTCCTGAACAATTCACATCCAGGGACTCTTAGCAAAAGTGTGACAGCTGATCTTAGCGATCCCAAGAGTAGGCAGAAGGAGAGCAGGTCTCTTAGCTGGGTTCCAAGCTCCAGGATTCTTTCACTACAGTAGCTGCTGCCTTTGACTCTCACTGTCTTCCTGCAGGATAACTACACCTTTGCACAGCCAGGGATCCAGAAGAAGGTCAAAGCACTGGAGGAGCTAGTCAGCCGGATCGATGGTAGGTGGTGAGGAGATCCGAATGGGAGCAAGGCAGTAGTGGGAGGTCATGCTGTACGCACCTCTTGTTTCTCACCCCCTGCAGTTTGATGATAAGAACATGAGTGGCCAGACTGGGTCAGACCAAAGGTCCATCTAGCCCAGTGTCCTATCTTCCAACAGTGGCCAATGCCAGGTGCCCTAGAGGGAATGAACAGAACAGGGAATCATCAAGTGATCCACCCCGTCACCCATTCCCAACTTCTGGCAAACAGAGGCTAGGGACACCATTCCTGCCCATCCTGGCTAATAGCCATTGATGGACCTATCCTCCATGAATGTATCTAGTTCTTTTTTGAACCCTGTTATAGTCTTGACCTTGACAACATCCTCTGACAGAGTTCCATAGGTTGACTCTGCACTGTGTGAAGAAATACTTCCTTTTATTTGTTTTAAACCTGCTGCCTATTACTTTAATTTGGTGACCCCTAGTTCTTGTGTTATGAGAAGGAGTAAATAACACGTCCTTATTTACTTTCTCCACACCAGTCACGATTTTATAGCCCTCTATCATATCCCCCCTTAGTCATCTCTTTTCCAAGCTGAAAGTCCCAGTTTTACTAATCTCTTCTCATATAGAAGCTGGTCCATACCCCTAATCATTTTATTGCCCTTTTCTGAACCTTTTCCAATTCCAATATATCTTTTTTGAGATGGGGTGACCACATCTGCACACAGTATTCAAGAAGAAGTGAGGTTCTTACCCACGAAAGTTTATGCTCCCAATACTTCTGTTAGTCTTAAAGGTGCCACAGGACCCTCTGTTGCTTTTTACAGTATTCAAGATGTGGGCGTACCGTGGATTTATATAGAGGCAATATGATATTTTCTGTCTTATTATCTACCCCTTTCCTAATGATTCCCAACATTCTGTTCGCTTTTTTGACTGCCGCCGCACATTGAGTGGATGTTTTCAGAGAACTACCCACAATGACTCCAAGATCTCTTTCTTGACTGGTAACAGCTAATTTACACCCCATCATTTTATAAGTATAGTTGGGATTATGTTTTCCAATGTGCATTGAATTTCATCTGCCATTTTGTTGTCCAGCCACCCAGTTTTGTGGGATCCCTTTGTAGCTCTTCACAGTCGGCTTTGGACTTAACTAGCTTGAGTAGTTTTGTATCATCTGCAAATTTTGCCACCTCACTGGTTACCCATTTTTCCAGATCGCTTAGGAATATGGTGAATAAGACTGGGCCCAGTACAGACCCCTTGGGGACACACTATTTACCTCTCTCCATTCTGAAAATTGACCATGTATTCCTACCCTTTGTTTCCTATCTTTTAACCTGTTACTGATCCATGAGAGGACCTTCCCTCTTATCCCATGACTCCTTACTTTGCTTAAGAGCCTTTGGTGAGGGACCTTGTCAAAGGCTTTCTGAAAATCTAAGTAAACTATATCCACTGGATCATTCTTCTCCACATTCTTGTTGACCCCCTCAACGAATTCTAGTAGATTGGTGAGGCATGATTTCCCTTTACAAAAGCCATGTTGTCTCTTCCCCAGCAAATAGTGTTCATCTATGTGTCTGATAATTCTGTTCTTAACTATAGTTTCAACCAGTTTTCCTGGTACTGAAGTTAGGCTTACCGGCCTGTAATTGCTGGGATCACCACTGGAGCCTTTTTTAAAAATTGGTGTCACATTAGCTATCCTCCAGTCATCTGGTACAGTAGCTGATTTAAATGATATGATACATACCAGTTAGTAGTTCTGCAATTTCACATTTAAGTTCCTTCAGAAGTCTTGGGTGAATAGCATCTGGTCCTGGTGACTTATTACTGTTTAGTAATCACTGATTGCAGTTATATGATGGGTCTTTTTTGGAGAATTCAACAGGGTGGAAGTTGTTGATGGACATGATTTCCCTCTGGAATTCTAGCATACACCCTGAGGCAGAGAGCAGGCTTGCGATTCCTCTCCCATTCCCCCATGAGGTTCCCATAGACCAGTGGTTGTGCCAGATGGTATCTGGATCAGAACAGAGGCTACAAACCATGGGAAGGGGTTGGAAGTGGGGCTTAGTTTGGAGAGGGGAAGTGCGGCGGAGTTAGTTGGGACCGGTGTGGCTTGATGAGGAAGGGGGCTGGGTTGGCTGGAAGGCATGCGGGAGGTGACATGGTTTTGGTGGGGTGGATTAGGTGGCAGAAGGCACACAGCTGGGGTCATGGCATGGCAGGGGAGAGGGCACGGTTTGGCACGAGTCAGACTCATTTGGCCAGAGAGCACATGGTAGGAGGGACTTGGTTGAAATGCATGTGGGAGGGGGCATCATTTAACAGAACAGGACTTTAATACACATGGTAGGAGGAGGCTTGGTTTAATGGGGAGAGGGGATTGGGTTGAAATGCACTTGGACAGGGGAGGGGATTGGTCCTGAGGGTGCTTTGAGGGACAGGACATTAGCACACAGAGCCTTGGGCCCCATGGGAATCCAAATGTGTAATGGAATGTGCTGTTTCAGAGCAGGTACACAATCACTTTAGGAAGTATGAGGTCGAATACCTGCAGTTTGCCTTTCGCTGGATGAACAATCTGCTGATGAGGGAGCTCCCCCTGCGCTGCACCATCCGCCTGTGGGACACCTACCAGGTACGTAGGACTAAAACTTCCCAGCCTCCCTGTTTTTTGCCCTAGGGCAGGCCCCCAGCTCAGCCTCACCAGTGGTGGGTGTGGGGCAGCTGCAGTGCTAGGAAGGCTCTTGCGCTCATAGAGATGAGCAGCAGCAAAGTGAGCTGCTCCCTCCTCTTGTCTGCCTCGTTGTGCCTGCCACAGGCCTGCTGTGGGGAGAGCTTGGAGCAAAGGCAGGCTAAGCTGGGCCTGCCAGTGCTGTCCTCGCGCTGACTCTGCTGCAAGGATTGACCCAGAGTTTTGTGTCCTTTCCAGTCGGAGCCGGAAGGATTCTCCCATTTCCACCTGTACGTCTGTGCCGCCTTCCTGATCAAGTGGCGGAAAGAGATCTTGGATGAGGAGGACTTCCAGGTGAATCCCTGGGGAGCAGCTCCGCTGGTGGGGAGGAGGGCAGGCGACATAATTGCCCCCGTTGGGTGGTTTATGTGTAGGTGGTTAAACATCAAGCAGTGATCTATCAGATCATAAAATCTACACCCAGGTTCCACCCCATAACCACGTAACAGAGGACACATGGTTGGTTACACTGAGCATAGGGCAGAGCCAGGTGCTCTGGGATCCTCTACCACAGACTCACTGTTTGACCATGTGTCTCTTTGTGCTGTGGTTCTCATCTGTAAAGCTGGAGTGTTAATACTGTATTTCACAGTGGGGTTGTGAGGATCCGTTAGTGCACCTCTGACAAGTGCTTTGAGATCCTCTGGAAGCTGAAGAGGGGCATACCAGGGTATGTATCCAACTCACACACAGAGATGGGTATGCAGTTATTGCTGCTGCCAGGGTCTGAGCACTGCAGTCATTTCAACTGACCAGGGAATGTGAAATCTATTTGGATAAAGAGGGAGCAGTTCATGTGTGCTGATATCAGGCTTGTTCGCTATAAACACTTGTGTGCTGCAGACTTGAGGTATGAAGGCTTCAGTGCATCAGGAAAAGGGCTGGGGGATGTGACCCCATTTTCCATGGATAAGTGAGGATGGTTAATGAAGGATCCGCTGTCCACCTTCAGGTGGCCGCCAGCATGCAGGAGGGATGTGTGTGTCTGTGTATGTGCAATGCTGATGAAGCTATGTCTATCTCTGCCTTCAAGACTGTGTTCAGATCTAGTGTAAACAGGTGCAACTCCATTGACATCATGGAGGCAACATGGTAGGCATGAACAGGGCACTGGACTGGGGCTCAGGAGACCTGGGTCCTATTCCCAGCTCTGCTGCTGGCCTGCTGAGTGACCTTGGGCAGGTCACATCCCCTCTCTGGGCCTCAGTTTCCCCCTCGGACCACCTTTGTAAAGCACTTTGAGATTGATGGATGGAAAGTGCTCTGTATACTATACTAAAGCTAGAACATAGCATTATTCAGTGCTGCTGTGTCTGCTCATATGAGATCTAAATTTGCCCTACAGCTGGAATCCCTGCTCCACTGCCTCCCAAAATAAGAAGCCCTTTTTCCTTGTTTCAGGGTCTTCTAATGTTGTTACAAAACCTACCCACAATACACTGGGGCAACGAAGAGATTGGACTCCTCCTTGCTGAAGCCTACAGACTCAAGTACATGTTTGCAGATGCCCCCAATCACTACCGCCGATAGGTGCCAGGACTCGGTCTCCCCACCCCGGCCTGATCTAATCACTGTGGCATTTCATCGTCGAAGTCCTCGGACACGCTGGCCAGGAGCCACTCCTAGCTGTACAAAGCTCACATCGACTTTTGTCTTAACTCTTATGTGTGCCTGCCTGCCACTCCATGTGTGGATGTGCCACTCAAACGACCATCAGTATTCCATGCCGTTCTGGTGGCCCGAGTCTGGGGGGAAAGGAGGCAGAGAGTGGCAGCTTCTGTGGCTTTAAGTATAAACTGAGCCAAGGATTGAGCCTCTGGATGTCCCCGCAGGCCTGGCCTGGCTGTCACCAGCCATCTTAGCCTTGCTGCTTCTTGTTAACCCATCCAGGCACACACGCGCGCACACACTCCCAGCTGGGTCCATTTTCCCTTCAGACACAGTTTGATCCAACTCCCAGACGAAAATGCCTTACCAGAGACCTGCCCGGGTGGAACCCTTTCTGAGGGCGGCAGTGCTGTAGGATGCAAAAAGCTCTCAGGGCCTAGCTTCACTACAAGTATCTGAAGAAACGCAGCACTTCAAAGGTAACAGGAGATATGCTCGCGCCCTCTCTCTCTCTTCCTCTCATGCAGCACATGGGTGCACACATGTTGTGGGGGGTTCACGTGTGTGAGGGAGGCTGGCCCATCCATGCACTGTCCTGAGTGACACATGTCCACTGGACAAGACTCCTCCTGTGACTGATCTGACCTGCTGTGCGCACAGCCCCCCACCCCACCCCCTGGCAGGGGGGGAGCCGTGCCTCTTGAAATCCTCTTTCCATGACGACACTCCTCTTCCTCCAAGGCATATGTGTATATTGTGGTCTTGTGTATATGGGTAAGAGGTACAATATAAGTCTTCTGTTTGTAGCAGATATGATTTTATATTTATAATATGCGTCTCATGCGTGCAAAGGCTGCCTAGGTTCAAGTACGGTAGGGCTCCGGTCTCTGGCGTTCGGGGTTGCCGAGCTGTAGGCATTCCTGCACTAGCACATTGAGAGACGAGTGTTGAATTTCTATTAGGAAAACTCGACTAGAAACTTACAAATCGGTTTCAAGTGGCCTCCAGTGCAAGAGGGGCTGGGTATTTTGAGGAGATGGGGGAGGAGCAGCCCCTGGAAGAGCCAGGATGTGAACTGTGGGGTGTCGGCTAACTTTCTCCACACTTGGCCGTGCCCTTGTGAAGAATACTCCAGTAATCTCCCCAAGCACTGTAGCGTGGCTGTCGTCTGCTGTGGCAGCTTGGGCCATTACTGTACATCACTGCAGTATCCTTGTTAAAGGGGAATGAGCATCAATCTGCTTCTTTTCTCCTGCCTCCCTATCGGATTGTCCCATTGGCTCTTCAGGGCCATGAAGAGAAAGGCCTGGGCTCTCTTGTGTGTCTGTCTGCGCTCCTGGGGAGCAGAGAGAACAGAGGAGATGGCTTATGCCCACATGACTCCTCCCTCTCTACCCTCCACACACAGACCTTGCCTCAATGTGCTTTTAAAAACCCAAATTTGAATGTTTTAATGTAACATTTTATTCCTGCCGGAAGGCGCCATCTCAGTGCCAAATGTTGATCTTTTGGGGCCAATTTCTTCACAGGGGGAGATCCTCCCCCCCCCCCCCGCTCCAAGGGGTGATCTCGGCATGTCCCCTGGGGACCAGAGCACACTGGTTATTATTGGAGTTGTTGTTCTTATTGGAAAGAGAGTCCCAGTGGCTTAGTCAAATAACAATTGCTGGAGAGGCTGGAGGATGTGAGAACGTAAAAGTGAGAGCTGTGTTGCCAATAAAACTCCAACCAGTGTCTCAAGAGTTGCTTTCCTAATCTGGAGTTGTTGTCTCAGGCATTCTGACTTTACTTTTTTTTGTGTGTGCCTTTTGTTGTTTTCTCTGAGAGAGCGACCCGATGGTCATTAGTTTAACATGACTAATTAAAAAACAAAAACCCAACTAAATCGTGTGCCAGAAGCTATTTTATTTGTTGGTGGGGGAGAGGAGGGGTGTAAGTGAAACTCTGCCACTGGACTATTGGGTGACCTTGGGCAAGTCACTTCACCTCCCTGTGCCTCATCTGTCAAAAGGGGATAATGATACTGACCTCCTTTGTAAAGAGCTTTGAGGTCTTTGGACGACATGCTATATATAAGGACTAGAGATAATGATTGTTATTTACTAAAGGTCTTCAAATAGATGGACTATTGCTTCCTCTCTTCTCTGAATTAACCTCCAGCCTCTAGCGCTTCCAGTCTTGATTTTAAAAACTCCAGGTCTTTCTAAAAGATAGGCTATAGTTCAGTGACAAATGATTGGGCTCGATGCAGGCATTGCTATAGTTGAGGTTCTCTGGCCTGTGTTATGCAGGAAGTCAGGCTACATGATCATAATGGTCCCTTCTAGCCTTACCATCTGTGAATCTAGACTCCATAAAACCTGCGTCTCTTCTAAATTAAAGATTCCATATGAATCTTACTGCTGGGGAAACGTGCTGCGGTAAACACCATGGAAGCTAAAGTTCCCAGTGCTGAGACAGGTACAGCGTGGGAAATGGTCTGGGGGACATATACCCACTGGCACCTGGACCAATTAATTAGGCTACTAAGTGGCTATTACTGTGGCCCCTAAAGGCTCCATTGTGCTAGGCGCTGTACGCGCACATAGTACAAGAAGAACTCACCATCTAAATAGACAAGACAGGCAGAGTGGGGAGTGACTGCCCCAGGTCTCAACTCCCTGGCCAGGGGCCTGTCTACTAGACCATGCTGCCGCCTCAGACGGTGACAATTTTTGGCCAATACTGACCTGAGTTGGGCTTAAAGCAGGACCTTAAAGAGCAAAAATTCCATCTTCTCACCCCTTCCCCTGAGCCATCCAGCCTGCTGACTTGTCAAGGAGCGTGCAATCCTCTTACTATGCCTGCCTGAAAAAAAAGCATAAAAACACAAAAAGGGCCATAACTTGTAGAAGCATTGTTTAATTTTTATCAAAATTGGCAGAAAGCTTCTAAATACAATTGATAATGCAACTATGTCCTCAAAACAGTACTGCTTTGGAACATCTGGAAACTGTTTAGCCCCAGCTGATATATTTTATGCATCTTCCTATACTTTTTGGCCTGCAGTTAAAGCTAAAGTGTGTAGTCACACGACATCTTGTCATTTATAGAATGGACTGGTTTGAGAAAAGTTTTATCTCTCTACTATTTTTATGACATTATGCAACTAAGACCTCTAAGTTTTGATGTTATGTGCTCAGCTGGAGAAAAGTCTAAAACCCACATAATACAATTGTAATTATCTTACTATCACTGAATACAAGAACAGTACATGTAAACTACTTATATAACAGTAATGACTCGTAGTAGAAGGGCTATAGAATGTCTTGTGTGACTAACAAAATATAACCAAAACAACAAGGAGTCTGGTGGCACCTTAAAGACTAACAGATTTATTTGGGCATAAGCTTTCGTGAGTTAAAACTCACTTCTTCGGATGCATAGAGTGAAAGTGCACTCTATGCATCCGAAGAAGTGAG